TCTATAGTCTAGTCTATAGTCTAGTCTATAGTCTAGTCTATAGTCTAGTCTATAGTCTAGTCTATAGTCTAGTCTATAGTCTAGTCTATAGTCTAGTCTATAGTCTAGTCTATAGTCTAGTCTATAGTCTAGTCTATAGTCTAGTCTATAGTCTAGTCTATAGTCTAGTCTATAGTCTAGTCTATAGTCTAGTCTATAGTCTAGTCTATAGTCTAGTCTATAGTCTAGTCTATAGTCTAGTCTATAGTCTAGTCTATAGTCTAGTCTAGTCTATAGTCTAGTCTATAGTCTAGTCTATAGTCTAGTCTATAGTCTAGTCTATAGTATAGTATATTGTCTAGTCTATAGTCTAGTCTATAGTCTAGTCTATAGTCTAGTCTATAGTCTAGTCTATAGTCTAGTCTATAGTCTAGTCTATAGTCTAGTTTATAGTCTAGTCTATAGTCTAGTCTATAGTCTAGTTTATAGTCTAGTCTATAGTCTAGTGTTTCCCAAAATCAGTTTCATGATATTTCTCCCCCACTGTCCTTTAAGCTTCTCAATCAATATTTGGTTGTTGTTTTTGCTGTTGCCTCGTTTGGCCATTGTTTTGTGTTTGTTGTGTTTTTTTGAGAGTCTACATATGTTTTTGTATTGATGCTGCTGCTGCTGCAAAGCTAATAGCTTTCTAATGATGTACTTGTTACATTTAATCATTGTCTAATGTTGCTTGTATGTTGTTTTTTTTTTTCTGCTGCTGCTTCTTGTTGTTGTTACATATTGTCCTGTTGTGTTTTATGGCTCTAATAATGTCGCTATTTGAAATCTTTTTTTGTTTTTCTCCTGTTGTTGCAGCAACATGTTTGCTATTCTGCTTTTGTTGTTTGGTTTTTAAGTTTTTTTGTTGCTATTGCTTGGTTGGTTGTTTGCTGTCAATTTGGCTTGTTAAACTTTAAATATCTTTTTTTAATAGTTTATTATTTTGAGTATTTGTTGTGGTGTTTTTTTGTTGTTGTTGGTGACTTCCCCTATTGCCCTGTATTTTTAATAAATTAAAAATTTCATTGTTGTTAGTTGATTGTTTTGTTTGCAACAGATTGCTGCACTTTGCTGTTGACTATTACTGTTGTAGTTGTTTTAGTTGTTGTTCAATTTTTATTAGTTGTTATCGTGTGCGGTATCAAAAGCTAAATCTTTAAGATTAAGTTGTCATTTTCGAGTGGAAAAAAACGTTGCTGTTGCTGCTAAATTGTTGTTGCATGTTGAGGATGTTTGTTTTTTTGTAGTTGTTTGTTGTTCAAATTACTGTGTGTGGTTTATTTATTTAATACGTCTTTAATGAGGATTTAATTTTTTGTGTTGTTTTTGCTGTTTTCCTTAAGTTTAATTAAGTTGCTCGTTGTATGTTTTTGCTTGTTTTCAATTTTTTTTATTGATTTTTTTCTAATAAATTTATTTTTAGCCAACATTTTGTTGTTTATGCTGATCAGTTTTGTTTTTTATTAAAGAGAAAAAATGTCATGGGAATTTTGTGGAAATGTAGTAAGATTTGGAGGTGAATGTAAAGATATGAAAATGAGTCTAAGATTTTGAACAGCAAGATCATTAAAAATTTAAAAGTAAAACTCAAATTACTTTTAATTTCTTATAATTTAAAAATAAGAATTTTTCAGTTTTCTCAAAGTCTAGCAAGCGCCTAACTTTAAAACAAATTTGTTAAGAAAATAAGTTAACAACACTTTTCTTATCCTGTTTTTGGTAAATTTTTGAAAAATACAAACCCCTCCTTTTAAGATTTAATTAAATTTAACATTAAGACCTCACAGAATATTAAAAGCACTTAAAACTTTTTAAATTTGTCATAAAATATTACCACAATTATCAAAACTACATAAAGACAAAAATAAAAATCACACACTCGGGCAGACAGACAGATACATCTAAAGACAGTTAACATACATATAACAAAAAATCTAACAATAAAACTCACAGAAAATGATATGCAAATTAAATCTTTACCCACAATAAGATGAACAAAATTAAAAAAAAAAACTGTTTTTTGTCAGAATCAAGCCAAAATAGAGGGCGTGGGTTAATGTAAATGTAAAAACCAAAAAATAATATTATAATTTTCTTTTAATATCTACAAAAAAGAAAAACTATACTAATGTATGCAACCAAAATGTTAGACAAAATATATTTCGTCATAGTTTTTTTTTTTTTTTGCCAAAGCAAAACTAAATTTGGTGAATGCGAATTTCCACACTTAAATGTTGGTAGATTTTGAAAACCTGTCAATCTTAGGGGAATATTGTAAATAAATAAAACTTCAAAACATAACGATGAACTACGAACTCTTGAATTTTGAATTATATGTTTGTTGCACGCTCTTTGGTTTTCTCTCTCCTTTGCTCTTTTCCTCTTTATTCCCTATAAATGGTGACAGTTAGAGTAACGGTTTGATGGAAATAAAGTTGCCACAATGCTTACTTAGCTACACTCCATAAACAATATACAGGTTGCACTGTGGGTTGAGAATCGCGTATAGTCTAGTCTATAGTCTAGTCTAAAGTCTAGTCTATAGTCTAGTCTATTGTCTAGTCTATAGTCTAGTCTATAGTCTAGTCTATAATCAAGTCTATAGTCTAGCCTATAGTCTAGTCTATAGTCAAGTCTAGTCTATAGTCAAGTTCTAGTCTATAGTCAAGTCTAGTCTATAGTCTAGTCTATAGTCTAGTCTATAGTCTAGTCTTAGTCTAGTCTATAGTCTAGTCTATAGTCTAGTCTATAGTCTAGTCTATAGTCTAGTCTATAGTCTAGTCTATAGTCTAGTCTAGTCTAGTCTAGTCTAGTCTATAGTCTAGTCTATAGTCTAGTCTATAGTCTAGTCTATAGTCTAGTCTATAGTCTAGTCTATAGTCTAGTCTATAGTCTAGTCTATAGTCTAGTCTATAGTCTAGTCTATAGTCTAGTCTATAGTCTAGTCTATAGTCTAGTCTATAGTCTAGTCTATAGTCTAGTCTATAGTCTAGTCTATAGTCTAGTCTATAGTCTAGTCTATAGTCTAGTCTATAGTCTAGTCTATAGTCTAGTCTATAGTCTAGTCTATAGTCTAGTCTATAGTCTAGTCTATAGTCTAGTCTATAGTCTAGTCTATAGTCTAGTCTATAGTCTAGTCTATAGTCTAGTCTATAGTCTAGTCTATAGTCTAGTCTATAGTCTAGTCTATAGTCTAGTCTATAGTCTAGTCTATAGTCTAGTCTATAGTCTAGTCTATAGTCTAGTCTATAGTCTAGTCTATAGTCTAGTCTATAGTCTAGTCTATAGTCTAGTCTATAGTCTAGTCTATAGTCTAGTCTATAGTCTAGTCTATAGTCTAGTCTATAGTCTAGTCTATAGTCTAGTCTATAGTCTAGTCTATAGTCTAGTCTATAGTCTAGTCTATAGTCTAGTCTATAGTCTAGTCTATAGTCTAGTCTATAGTCTAGTCTATAGTCTAGTCTATAGTCTAGTCTATAGTCTAGTCTATAGTCTAGTCTATAGTCTAGTCTATAGTCTAGTCTATAGTCTAGTCTATAGTCTAGTCTATAGTCTAGTCTATAGTCTAGTCTATAGTCTAGTCTATAGTCTAGTCTATAGTCTAGTCTATAGTCTAGTCTATAGTCTAGTCTATAGTCTAGTCTATAGTCTAGTCTATAGTCTAGTCTATAGTCTAGTCTATAGTCTAGTCTATAGTCTAGTCTATAGTCTAGTCTAGTAGTCTATAGTCTAGTCTATAGTCTAGTCTATAGTCTAGTCTATAGTCTAGTCTATAGTCTAGTCTATAGTCTAGTCTAGTCTAGTCTATAGTCTAGTCTATAGTCTAGTCTATAGTCTAGTCTATAGTCTAGTCTATAGTCTAGTCTATAGTCTAGTCTAGTCTAGTCTAGTCTATAGTCTAGTCTATAGTCTAGTCTAGTCTATAGTCTAGTCTAGTCTATAGTCTAGTCTAGTCTATAGTCTAGTCTAGTCTATAGTCTAGTCTAGTCTATAGTCTAGTCTATAGTCTAGTCTATAGTCTAGTCTATAGTCTAGTCTATAGTCTAGTCTATAGTCTAGTCTATAGTCTAGTATATAGTCTAGTCTATAGTCTAGTCCATAGTCTAGTCTATAGTCTAGTCTATAGTCTAGTCTATAGTCTAGTCTATAGTCTAGTGTATACGATTATGTGAAATTTTCTATAGAAAAGTTTGTTCAGATTCTGAGAAATTATTCGACTATACAATCCACTGTACAAGAGGGTGTTGGAGTACTTTGTTTATTTTTAATCCAACAATCCATAATATTCCAAAAGGGAACTTTGTATGAGTAAAGGAATGAATGAATGAGTGTATTGCATTTATGGCATGTGGGTGGCGCTTTGATATGCTTTTGTAATGATGAAAACCAAAAAAAGAACAGGCGACAAAGCAGGAATATGGATGGATGGTTGGATACATAAGTCATGCATTTACCTGCCTTTTTTCTAGATTTTAATATGCATTTACTTGGCAAACAATAACAGGGCAAAACCAAAATGAAAAACATAAAACATAGATGGGAATCTAATAGAAAAATAAAGCTTTTGTCGTTTGATAAAATAGACATAGACACAGACACACACACACACACAAACTCTATAGAAAATCATCAATCAGCTTTAAGGAAATTGTTGACGATCAAAAGACAAAAAATAATAAAAGGCAAACGTCAGCGACAACAACTTCAAATTGCAACAGCAACAGGAACATATGTTAATATTCCCATGATATTAATGAAATGTTAAATCTAGCGTAACTGGAACAAGTGGAACCACCACCAACATCTACTCTCTAGTACCTACGGAACAAACAACCGAAGGAGAAAATTGTAAAACGACACCAACAAACCCACAATGACCATAAACAAATTTAATGCAAATTTTCGAAAATTTTCTTTTCTTTTTTTCCTTTAATATAACGGTTTTTTATTTTGGGTTTTCTGTTTTTCTTTATTATTGTTGTTTATAAACATAATTCCTGCTTATAAGCTAAACGAAAACCACGTCCCACATATTCCTCATCACTGCGAAAGGGCAAAATAATTGGTCCCGCCGCGACATCTCTAACTGGTGCATGAATGGTAAAATCTTCATTTTCGGTGCCATCATTGAAACGTTCACCACACAGACGCACCTGATTGATGCCCAAAAAATCATCGGGACAATTGAAAATGCCAGCACCAGCCTGACCATCCGGCACTAAATCATTTTCATCTAAGAAAGTCAGAAAACAAAAGAAATCAAACGTGAGAAAATTTTCCAAACCACTACCATTACCTTCATCTTTATTGATTATTTGAAAATCCAATTGATCAGCACTGCCACCAATTTGTTCCATTATATAATTGACACTGCAATAATCTTTAGCACGTTCCATACAAATAACGTAATTTAAATTGTTCTAGGAAAGAGTAAATTAAGTTGAACTCATATGTCTTCCAAGTTAAGCAAATAACTCACAAAATATGTAGCCTCTTTGTTGTCCACTATGGTGCCTTCGATGTCATAATTAAAGGACTTAACTATACCCTCTAATTCGGTGTAATATTGCAAACAGCCCAAAGGTGCTAAGTTGTCCTCCAACTAAAATTGATTATTACGAAATTATTATTTAATTTTCTTTTTTCAAAACTTGCCAGATTAATCTTGATATTAAAGGATCTCGATCCCGTAGGCACTTTGGCGAAAAATGATAAATAGATTTTACTATCTGGTGAATTTTCCACATCAACGTAAACTATAAATGATTGCAAAAATAAATAAAATTTTTTTATAGAGAAATTTTCTATAAGAAAAATTCTCTCAGAAAAATAAAGAATTTTTCTATGTGATTATGAGAAATTTTCTATAAAAAATGTTTCAGAATGTGAGAAAATGTTGCTCACATTGTGGGAAATTATCCATAGAAAATGTTGCTTACATTGTGAGAAATTTTCTATAGAAATGTTGCTCACATAGTGAGAAATTTTCTATAGAAAATGCTGCTAACATAGTGAGAAATTTTCTATAGAAATTGCTGCTCACATAGTGAGAAATTTTCTATAGAAAATGCTGCTCACATAGTGAGAAATTTTCTATAGAAAATGCTGCTCACATTGTGAGAAATTTTCTATAGAAAATGCTGCTCACATAGTGAGAAATTTTCTATAGAAAATGTTACTCACATAGTGAGAAATTTTCTATAGAAAATGTTACTCACATAGTGAGAAATTTTCTATAGAAAATGTTACTCACATAGTGAGAAATTTTCTATAGAAAATGTTACTCACATAGTGAGAAATTTTCTATAGAAAATGTTACTCACATAGTGAGAAATTTTCTATAGAAAATGTTACTCACATAGTGAGAAATTTTCTATAGAAAATGTTACTCACATTGTGAGAAATTTTCTATAGAAAATGTTACTCACATTGTGAGAAATTTTCTATAGAAAATGTTACTCATATTGTGAGAAATTCTCTATAGAAAATGTTACTCATATTGTGAGAAATTCTCTATAGAAAATGTTACTCATATTGTGAGAAATTTTCTATAGAAAATGTTACTCACATTGTGAGAAATTTTCTATAGAAAATGTTACTCACATTGTGAGAAATTTTCTATAGAAAATGTTACTCACATTGTGAGAAATTTCCTATAGAAAATGTTACTCACATTGTGAGAAATTTTCTATAGAAAATGTTACTCACATAGTGAGAAATTTTCTATAGAAAATGTTACTCACATAGTGAGAAATTTTCTATAGAAAATGTTACTCATATAGTGAGAAATTTTCTATAGAAAATGTTACTCACATAGTGAGAAATTTTCTATAGAAAATGTTACTCACATAGTGAGAAATTTTCTATAGAAAATGTTACTCACATAGTGAGAAATTTTCTATAGAAAATGTTACTCACATAGTGAGAAATTTTCTATAGAAAATGTTCTCACATAGTGAGAAATTTTCTATAGAAAATGTTACTCACATATGAGAATTTTCTATAGAAAATGTCTCACATAGTGAGAAATTTTCTATAGAAAATTCTCACATGTGAGAAATTTTTCTATAGAAAATGTTACTCACATTGTGAGAAATTTTCTATATTGTGAGAAATTTTCTGTGTGAAATTATCTCAGAATCAGGGAATTTCTTAAGTTGTACTTACTATGCTGTCCCGTATTAATGCCGCACAAAACCGGGACTACAAAGTTAATATTTTGTCCTGAAATAATAAATTGATCGTCGTCGCAGTTGCCATCAGTAGGACGATTTAGCTGCAAAAATCAAAAGATCAAAAAATATCTAATGTAAGTCCATTGCATATGTGATTAGATATGTTTACCTCAAACATTAAAAAATCCAATCTCAATTGCTGGACATTCTTACGCAAATTGATAATTAAAACACAAATCATCATTTCTCTGACCGGTTGAGGATAATTGGGACTTTCAAAATAGAACACCGATTGAGCCACCGTATCACCGCAGCCAGTTAAAACTAAATTTTTTAAATCACAAAAAATCTATTTAATAGATTTTTATTTATAATTTGAAACAAACTCACATATACAGCAAACTCCCAAACCCTCGCCACATTTTTCCGTTGATATACCACCCAAACTTTTGCACTCGAACTCATGATAACAAATACCATCCATGGACCTGATATCACCCATACTCACTGAACAACGGGTATTGGCAAATTTGATGACTTCGAATAGACTTAAGAAACCTTTACTTTTAGTTTTTCCTTTGGTGTCTATGGAGCCATGTTTTTGTATCAGATTCACTTGAGAGGGAGAACCAAAGACGAAAAGATTTTTCAGTTTTTCAGCCACATTAAAGGGAAAAGGACTAGAGGGTTTCATGATAGTGGTGGAAGTAGTGGGAAGTTTAGTGGGTCTAGGGGAGGTGGTTGATGTTTTGGGTTTTGAGGTGGTGGTTTCTGGTGGTTCGGTTTCAGGCGGTGGCTCGGTAGGCTCTTCAGTTACTTCTGGTTCTGGCATTTCTGTTACTATAGGCATAACAGTTGTAGTAATTTCCATTCCGGACTCTGTAGTGGTTGCGGATTCCTCTTGCTGCTGTTGCGGATATCTCTGCCAAAATAAACGCGGCATAGGTTTACCCGGTTGAAATCTTAACTTATAAGGATTTTCATATGTAACTAAAGGAGGCTTTGTAAACTTTTTCTTTAATTTTGCACTTGTTTCAGTGGTCATTTCCACTTCTTCTAACCACTCATTGGTTTTAAATTGTCTAAGTGTTATAAAACCATTGCGATACGAACAGGACACGTATTCCATTTGAAATATTAACAGAACAATTAAAGAGATTTTGTAGCATCTTGTTAGTGTCGTCATTATTGACGGAAGTGCTGGCAACAACTGTCGTTTTATTGTCGTTGGCAATATGATTGGACCAGTCGTTTCATTTGAAAAACTAAATTTCTTTTTCATTTGTCATAATTAGAGCATTAATTGTCAGTTGCTAAAGATGTTGGTTGGTTGGATAACTAACTAATCTCAGGTGTAATGTAACCTTCACTTTTTTCTTTATTCCAAGAGATGCATTTCTTTCTTACTTTTCTTGTTGTCGTTGTCTTGGTCATGGTTATGTGATTCTCATACCAACATGTTGTTGCTTTGTGCGAAGAGTGAATGTTCTTAATCTGTTTGCTTTTAGAGACATTGTTGCAGTTTAAAGTTTCATTTGAAATTCAAGTTGCGTTAGGATTTTATTGTCCGATGTTTGAAGTCTTTTAGAACATTGTCTCAGATTGTGGAAAATTTTCTTTAAGAAAAGAAAATTTTCTCTAAGAAAATTATCTCAAATTCTCAGAAAGTTTCTATAGATAGTAGCAGATTTTAAGAAATTTTCTATAGAAAATTTATCTCAGAAACTGAGAAATTTTCTTTAGAAAAACTCTCTCAAAAACCAAAGAAATTGTTTTAGAAAAATTTTTTAAATTTCTATTGAAAATGTTACTCACATTGTGAGAAATTTTCTATTGAAAATGTTACTCACATTGTGAGAAATTTTCTATTGAAAATGTTACTCACATTGTGAGAAATTTTCTATTGAAAATGTTACTCACATTGTGAGAAATTTTCTATTGAAAATGTTACTCACATTGTGAGAAATTTTCTATTGAAAATGTTACTCACATTGTGAGAAATTTTCTATTGAAAATGTTACTCACATTGTGAGAAATTTTCTATAGAAAATGTTACTCACATTGTGAGAAATTTTCTATAGAAAATGTTACTCACATTGTGAGAAATTTTCTATAGAAAATGTTACACACATTGTGAGAAATTTTCTATAGAAAATGTTACTCACATTGTAATAAATTTTCTATAGAAAATGTTACTCACATTGTGAGAAATTTTCTATAGAAAATGTTACTCACATTGTGAGAAATTTTCTATAGAAAATGTTACTCACATTGTGAGAAATTTTCTATAGAAAATGTTACTCACATTGTGAGAAATTTTCTATAGAAAATGTTACACACATTGTGAGAAATTTTCTATAGAAAATGTTACTCACATTGTGAGAAATTTTCTATAGAAAATGTTACACACATTGTGAGAAATTTTTTATAGAAAATGTTACTCACATTGTGAGAAATTTTCTATAGAAAATGTTACTCACATTGTGAGAAATTTTCTATAGAAAATGTTACTCACATTGTGAGAAATTTCCTATAGAAAATATTACTCACATTGTGAGAATTTTCTATAGAAAATGTTACTCACATTGTGAGAAATTTTCTATAGAAAATGTTACTCACATTGTGAGAAATTTTCTATAGAAAATGTTACTCACATTGTGAGAAATTTTCTATAGAAAATGTTACTCATATTGTGAGAAATTTTCTATAGAAAATGTTACTCACATTGTGAGAAATTTTCTATAGAAAATGTTACTCATATTGTGAGAACTTTTCTATAGAAAATGTTACTCACATTGTGAGAACTTTTCTATAGAAAATGTTACTCACATTGTGAGAAATTTTCTATAGAAAATGTTACTCACATTGTGAGAAATTTTCTATAGAAAATGTTACTCACATTGTGAGAAATTTTCTATAGAAAATGTTACTCACATTGTGAGAAATTTTCTATAGAAAATGTTACTCACATTGTGAGAAATTTTCTATAGAAAATGTTACTCACATTGTGAAAAATTTTCTATAACAAAATTCACTCGGATACTGAGAAATTTTCATGGAAAAGTTCTCGCAAAAACAGTAATATTTTCTATTAAAAAAATCTCTGAGAAACTGCGAAATATTCTATAGAAAAATTCTATGCTTTAAACTTTAAAGTTTAAAGATTTAAAAACAAAATAAAACTAACTAGAAGAGAACCCCTCTCTCCATATAGCAGGTACCTCTCCCTAAACTTCTTTCCAATTGCCTCGATTTGTTTCCTTAACAACAAATAATAATTCTTTAAAAAAAAATGAAAGAAATAAATTGAAAAGAATTTTCCATACAACTGTCAATTTATTTATACAAAAAAGTACGAGCAAAAAAAAGAAGAAAATTTCTTTAGAAATTCTTCCTAGAAAGAAAACATATTAAGATAGAAACCAATGAAATTCTCCATAAAAAAAAATAACCAAACAAGTAGTTACGCATTTCTTCAGAAATAAATTTCTTTTAGTTGTATATGTAGTGTGGACAAGATGAAGTGAAGTAGTGGAGTACAATACTAAGATGTATTGAAATGAAAAGAAAAATACGTAGAAGAAAAGTTAAGTACACCGTTATTAGGTTATAAGCCATCAATTATATGCACATTCAACAAAAACAAATAATATTCAAACAACAACAACAATATTCGAATGTTGCAGCAACAACTTAAAAAGATTGTTGGAAAATGTCTACTTTTTTTTACTTCAATATTTTAAAAAATTGGTGACTACTGCTTGCTGGCTGCCTCTTGACTGCCATAAAACCAACAGCAACATGGCTTAAACATACAAGATGAGTGTTTGGAGAATCTGTTTTTAGAGTAAAAACGAATTTAAGAGATGCTACACTATCGAAATAAAGCTGTAGTTGAAATTAGTACTATTTGGAGACCTAAAAAATGTCTTAAAATGTTGCCTTTTCGCAATGCTGCCCTTTTAAAGAGAAAAGTGCAATCTTAAGACAAAAGTGCAACACTTTAAGTAAAACTAATTTCATTTTAAAATCAGTTTGTTGCCAACTTAACCTCCAATCCATATTATCTTCTCATATTCTAATGATATTTTTCTTTGGAAAAAAACTACTTATAGCAGCCGAAAATATCAACGCACAGATGCCAACAAATATCGACAAAAACACAATACATTATTGGTAGATTTTCCACTTCTTGGAGTTTTTTTTATTTCACCATTTGATTTTCTTTTTCATCTTGAACATTTTAAGGCAGTCATAATGCTCAAGACATACGTACTTTTTATTCCAAACTCTTTACATTTTTCAAGTATCATTATACGATAATGTTGATCATAATGAGGTTCATCAAACTTCTTACCGAGTTGCAACTTTAACTACCAAAGAGTTCTCTTCCATTATTTCGTTGAGGTTCAAAACTGATACGAAACAAACGTATTCATTCGCTTTCTAACATCCCATACATGTGTCCACTAAATGTCAATTAAGCAAAGCATTGGAGATTCTTTTGAAAAACCACTAGAACACTTAAATCCATAAAGAATAATTTTGTTTGTTTGATTTTTTTTAGTTCTTTCTTTTTTATCGGTCTTGTGCTTGGAGAGGAAGTAGAAAATGTATTTGAATTGAACCACGAATTTGTAATAGAAAATAAAATACTTTTCGAATCATAATTTTTTTTTGGAGATTTGGAAATTTAAATAAGACAAGAATTCTTACCAGGAACTAATTTAGCTTTATATTACCTTTGTTTGTTGCTAGAAACAAAAATTCTTAAAGAGAACTTCTCTCATCATGACTATAGACAAGTCTATAGACTAAAGAATAGACTAGACTATAGACTAGACTATAGACTAGACTATAGACTAGACTATAGACTAGACTATAGACTAGACTATAGACTAGACTATAGACTAGACTATAGATAGGGCCAAGCTCAGGCTACTATCGGGGTCAGCGGGTGGCGGATAGCTGAACGGCCTATAGATATATAGGTCAGCTGCGATAAATAAGCAGTCCCCGACCATGAGCGGCAGAATTCGAGGGCGTACTATAAAAAGGTACATGTGCCTGAAGACGATTGCTGCGTCAATGGCGATTGAGTGCCGCCATCTAAATATGCACTCGTCCACAGGGGATGCCCTCAAGAGAGGAGCAATTAGAGGAGTGATGCCCTCGTGGATTCCCCAATTAAAATCCAAAGCGTCTGACCCATAGTGGGCGGCTTCCTGGTATGCGTCTGACCTCAGGAGAGGCGGCAGTATCCTTTGTCCACTTGTCTCTTCGGCATTTTGGACCATCCCCTAAAGGGAAAAACCTCCGCCTGAAGGCATTAAGACCAAGTCCAGTACGGTCTTAATCATGGAATTTCTGGAAAAATGGATAGGAACTGACAGAACCCCGGGCTGACGGTTGTTGTATTCTGGAACTTCAGTATGCAGAAGTGAAATTCTGCAAAAATGGCTTCCAGGCTAATGCAGCAACCGCCTCCGTCCCAGTAAAACCTGGCAAGTCTTTAAATACGTTCAAAGCTCGTCACCATTTGGTTGGTGGTGCAGGATCGGATGATATTTACCCGACTTACACCGATCTGGCTCTGGCGGAAGGTCTCATAAGGGCCTTTCGTCAACCCTCGCATGGACCTCACTGCTTGCATAGGGACCCATGGGATCATAGTCGTGACTGCACAACGAGCGGAGATAGCGGTTTTAAGTTGGGACCACGAAGATAAATGCCTGAAACCGAAGAAATGACGAGGAAGATAGTAGATGTTGAGGAAACGCCACTTGGAGCATGTTCAATTAATGAACAACTGTCAAGTAGCGGACAAGAAGAGTTTAAAGCTACAGAAGCCCCTGTTAACGTAGCAGATGTAGGAAAGTTAAATAGCACGAACTTTAAACCTACTAATGTGATAAAACTTGGGCAGAATGTAACAAAACTGTTGAAATTTATTTCAACGCGTAACAATATCCATAAGGATATTCAGTCGATGATCCAAGGGATATATGCGCAATACCTGGCGGTGTCTGATGAGCTAAAAGGCTTATCTAGCGATTCTCTAAGAGAACAGCTCTTGAAAAATGAAATCCAGATGGCGGCAATGTTAAAAGCGAAGACTAAAGAAACTCC